TATATATATATATATATATATATATATAAACATATACATGTGTTTGTGTGTGTGTATCTCCAGAAGCTTCTGTTTGTGTGTGCATGCACATATTTATATTTATTAGGCTTAAATATTGCCCCAGTCATAGATGACTCTGAATAGCTTATAGATCTGGTAAGATTATATAGATCAGTAATAAGATCAAGATAATATTTAAAAGGAATTCTATAGATAGAATCACAATAAAATTCCCAACAATGAGGATAAATTATTCAGACAAATATTCACTCTCAAGAGGGAATGAGATAAAGACTAGCTTCAAATCCCAAAGGTCTGCTAAAATATAGATCACAGGAGGTGTGATTGCGATTTTTGGTGATATCACTGTGGAGAGTTGCCCACATTTTCAGTTGACTTTTTTTGCTCTGGGGGAGGGGAGGTTGGTTATGTAAAACAGACATTTTGACATTTGACATTTTGGCAACATTTCCCTCTCTTCTAAAATCATGCTATCAAAAGATGTCTGTTTTGACAGTTTGTCACACATTTACAAGAAAAAATGTTTGCAATCCGGGATATGCAAAAAGGGAATCTGGGTCATTCCTGCTTTACTCATTCAGAGTTTTTTCAGTTCCCCTTTCATTCAAAAGGAGAAAACAGAGATCTTGGATGCTTTGATATAGAAACTAGTTACTGACACTTTATATTGGGCAGCAAACAGCCAGAAATTAGCAATATAAATTAAATTGCCTTAGTTATTTACCTATCATGAAAGGTAACAGAGGAATGTACTGTATCTTTACAATTTTGCACTATATGAATAAATTGTTCAAATCTTTTCTTGTAAAAGTTATTTATTTATTGGCAACCAATTCCAGCCAGAGAAGTGAATGTATTTCTACACACAACATAAAATTAAATTAAAAGAATCCATTGCCTTAATTTTGAATGGCTTTAAAAACAGTAGACAAATTCATAAAGGACAAGAATTTTCCAGAAATTACTCCGCAATACTTAATACTGTGTTAAATATATTATTGCTTCTTATATTTTTCATTTTTAAAGTATCACTTGAACTTAAACTATGTCAATCTTTTATGGTTGGATGTTCAGGTACTTATTTAAAAATTAAGTATACCTATTGGCCCTCTGGGGTGTGGTAGTTTGGGAGTTTGGAGTGAGTTTAAAAGATTAAAGGAGGCTTCAAACATACATTTTGCGCTTTAATTTCCTCTCTGCATCCATTACCAAATCTTGGAAAAACCTAGGGCAACTATATGTGGTCCACAAAAATCCATATGACCACTAAATAGTAGCTAATGACTTGCTGCTATCAGGTTTTGGGCACAAATGAGTAACAGAGATCACATGAGGATGCACGTTTTGTACACCTGGATTTTCAAAATGTATACTTCTTTTTTGCTCTATCCCTTATGAAATAACATTCCGACCTTGGTATTCAATTGCTTCAAAACTCATTAAATTTGGTAGTCAGTACATTTTGAAGAGAAAATCTTGCCCTGGAACTATTTTTCTCCTGATATTTGATGCACAAGGTAGAACTTGCTGGCGTTGGCTACCTCATAACTTGCTACTCCTTCCTGTTGAAACAAAGGGTCATGTGGTAAGTCACATGGTTTGCTTGGTACTCGTCATTTTTAGTACTTGATGCTCCACCCAGAATGAATTAGCAATGAGTACCAAGTTACCACTGTAGTTTTTTTGACAATGAAAGCGTCTTTTAAGAAGTTTTAAGGATAAAATAAAACAAACCAGACTCCCTTGTGTCAAAGTACCAATGATATTGCCTAGTTTGGTTATGAAACATTTACAAGAAGAAAACTAAGCTCAGCAAACAACAGGTACAGTATTTTAGAAAGGTCTCTCATTCCCAGAGCTGCATGCTCAGAATCTAAATCATGCAACACAGAACTTCTGCTATAACTTTTCCTCCTCCCATAATTCCCCACAACTCAAAAGGAAGCAATTAGAGCCCTTATTAAGGAAAACTACCAGCAAATTTATAATACAGCCTGAATCTTTAATTCCATTTTTTTCAGAATGTTCTAAATTCAGGAAGCTGCCCTGAAATCCAAGGATTCCTGCATCTGAAGGAAGTTGGGCGCAAAGCCTGGAAAAGATTTTACTTTTCTCTGCGCCGTTCTGGGCTCTATTACTCAACAAAAGGCATGTCAAAAGTAAGTTTGTGAGTGCAAGATGTAATGGAGGAACACCCTTGGTTTTTGTTTTTTTGTTTTGCTATGGACAACAGTTCTGAGAGTGTATTGCAACAGTTTTCCTAGAAAGGAAAACAGCAATTGGGATTAGGCCTCAGCAACATTTAGAAGAATAGTGTTTGTGTAAAGCTTGATAGCAGAACCTAGTGATCTGGTATGCCCAAGTGGAAACTGTCAGAGACAAATAAAAGTAAAATGTACGGTATGCTTCTCAAATTTTATGGATTTCTGGAAATCACTGAAGGTAAAATATGTTTAAGCCCAAATAAAATAAGATACATAATAACTTTCATCTTTGATAATGATATATTTGGTCTATGGCTTCTCAGTAATCCTTATACCCCTGTTTGAAATATTCAATATTATTATTCCCACATTTCTAAAATCTACTGGTGAATTCAAGGAACTGGTGACATGAATGTTTCTTGACTGCTATGCTGTGTCTGTTCAGAAATTAAAAACATATGCGTTATGGACGTGTGAATATTTTCTTTTTAGGGAACTGGGACAAAACAATTAAATGATAGTCCTGGTCTATATTTTTTTATTTTTTTTAGTAGTTATGAAAGCTATTTTTTTCTGGACAAAGAAAATAAATCTTTTAATTTAGTAGGATTCTGACTTTTGCATCAGATGTTAAATTCAGTTCTTGTCCATATCTAATCATACATAGGTAGAATATACAGAATATGTCTAGAACCCCAGATTCAATTGGTATGAAGTAAAATCGTTTTCTGGCCTCCCTTATTCTAGGACCCCCGGCATTTACAGTATTGTGTTGACATAAATGAATCAGTCATCTATTATATAACCCAAGGCAAAAAACAATATAATACACCCACCGAGTATGGCTTTTGTATCAAGGTAAGACAAGTGAGAATTAATCTTGGGTTCATTCCACCTTTAATCCCTTTAATCTCTCTTTAACTTTAATTTTAAATGATCAGGCTCATTTAAAATATCCATAGAATTAAATATTAAGATTCAGGTAAAAGGCACAATGAGTATTGTTCTCCAATCAGTAAATCAATGTATGACTCTAACCTTTGATTCTTTTGAAAGTTGTGGTTTATAAAAATTTTATTAATATTTTAAGGGTTCTTAATTTAACTCTCAATACTCAAGTAACTATATTGTATTAATATGCTATTATTAATAGCATATTAATAATTGAGCTAAGAGGGGCATGAAAGTTTTTAGTATCTAAAGGTTTGCTTTTAAACTCTTTTTACACAGTTTGTGTATCTATTTTATCTTTTCAATTGGCTTTTAATTTCTTTGTATTTTATAATTTTATGTATGTATGTTATGTTTGTACAAAACATTTCTCAACTATTATAATAAACCTGAACTTGAAACTCTACAAATAAAATTTAGAATGCTAACCAATATTTAAAAACTGGTGATACTTTTCAAATTTAAATTGAAGGCACATTTCTCTTCTGAATGTATTTAAAAAATTTCCATCCTAATAGTTGGCGGTCACTCAAAATGTTTCTCCCTAAGCCATTTACCTAAACATGGTTCCATATTATAGGAGAAAAAAATCCTGGGCCCAAATTCATCCACTTTGAAGTTTCAACTAACTTAATTTTAATAACTTAATTTTCTTAATAAGCCCAATATAAAAAGAACAGAACTATCTTTAAAGGCTGATGAAAATGAACAAACTCAAAAAGTAAATCAAGAGCAAAACACCCTATGGATATGTATTTTGGGCATCTAAGAGCCTGCTTTTGACACATTACTTAATTTTCTTAAATGTTTTCTTCCATTTAGGACGATAATTGAAACTAGACCAAACTCATGTAGATTTTTTTTCAGATATGGAAGAGGAAGGTCTTGCCAAAGTTGTCATGTTGTGTTTTTCTTTTCTCTTAAAGCCACATAAGGCACGTAGTGGACTCAAAGGACTGAAGCTCTTTTGCTGTGAAGATGAACAAAGTCGCACATGCTGGATGGCTGCCTTTCGTCTCTTTAAGGTGCTATTTGGTTTGACACTGGAGATAATAGGAAATTTATTTCAATGTAAATAGAAACTTCTAGGAAAACATCTTCCTCCAAATGGGAAGGAAAGAGAAGTTCCCTCTTCCTCCTTTATTGCAATCTTGCTTCAGAAGTTGATTTTTTCCTTTATAAAAAGGTTGCATTTCAGTAATATTTAGCTTGACATAGGATTTTCAGCTCTGACCACACCAACCTTCAAATCTTGTCTGCTGTATTGCTATATTGCTGATCTCCAATTGCATTTGGTAGCTTAATAATTTGCATAGTCTCAGTACTATGATTTCTAGAGAAAAGATGGTTTATTATGGTAGTACTGTATAGTATTGTCAAGCTTGTCACTTTTAGCCATAGAAAGTTACATTAGCTGGAGTTGCTCGTTACATATTAACAACTATAAATCTTTCCTCAGTATGGTGTACAGCTCTATAGAAACTACCAGCAATGTCAGACACGCCAAAAGGAACCATCTTGGTTTGGCACTGTGCCCCTGGTAAGTAGTCTGATAACAAATCACTTGTTTTTATTATTTGGGTGAACATTTTGATAGCTTATGGGGGTGTAGGCATTTTAGAAATACCTTCATCATATAAGCTTATATTTCCTGAGTGGATGAAACCCTTTTTAGAGTTAATTTTAAATGGGAAAATTTTCTGCAGATGTATTAATTTCACATAACCACTTCCTGTTCAGCGACTTGAATTCTAGTGACCAAGTTGGTAAGCAAAATGGTCATTAACTAAAAATAATGACCAAGATAGAAGCACACTGCAAAGATTACTGATTGTTTCTCTCTCATTCAGATAAAGTTGTCTCTATGCCAGTATTATTCTTACTCCTGTGTATGATGTTGTCAGGACATGAAATTTGGTCATATAAGCACAAATGAGTTTGTGAAAATGAGTTTCTTACTACTGTCAAAATATATAGTATAATACATTTCATTGTATTATGGTCACTAACCAAGATTGTCACTAATTAAGGAATGGTTGTACTTCACCAGATCTCAACCGTATTTCTTCTGCTCAGTTTCCTGTAGTGGATCATTCAGTAGTGATCAATATGTTAGCTTTGGTTTTTTTTTAAAAAAAAGCATGAACATATAAATACTGGTCTATAAATGGATAACATCCATTTCAAGAGTAACAAAATTGAGAGAATTTTCAGACAAGTTGTCAAACTACATTTACACAATGGAACCTTTATAATTACTGCTTACATAAACCTGAGCTTTCTAACCTTTGGTTGACTTTTTCTCCTGATTGCTTTTGGAATATGCACCCATGCATTGCTTCCAAACACCCTTAAATGTGCCAGAGATAGCTTTCTCCCATATAATACTGCATATGGAGTATCATTAATTGAGGAACTCCACAGTCTATTGATTAAATAATTAGCAGTCAACATGGTTTCACCCCACTATGACCTGCTCGATCCTTCATTGCTTGTAAGACTCCATTTCAGCTCTCAGCTACACCATTCTCAGCTGCTATAAACGGATTTGTGCATCTGTTTTATTCCTAAGTGTCCCAACCACTGTTGAAAACTTGCTGACATGAATTCTGAACCTCTGTTAGTTTTCAGCTAGAACCTTCACCCTCATCCTACACCCGAGCTACAGATATTCACCACTATTGCAACCCTAGTTTGTTCCTAAGTGTGAAAACATCAAATTTGTTGTCTATGTCAAAATATCCATAGCATGTTCAAGAAATGATTTCCTTTTGATGACCTGAAAATGCAAAAAGGATTGTATTTACTAATGTCCCTCTTAGATGGTGTAAACACTTTTTAAATTTTATTTCTGAAGATGATGTAATTTTCGGTATATTATTTAATCATTGAAATAATGAAACAATTTTAAATTTTATGTCAATTGTAAAATCTGTCCACAATTTTAAGTTCTATCTACTATGTATTTTCTCATATTCTTTTGTGTGTGTGTGCAGTCATTTATTTTATTCCTCAGAAGTTTTTTTTAAGAAAAGAAGCTTAAATGTATATTTAAATAAACCTTAGAATTTTGAAATGTGTTACCAAAACTTGCTAACTTGCTAACTCCCTTCTTTTCTTTAAAGATTTTTGTAAATCTTTAAAGCTACTAAATTATGCTCACCTTACCATGCTGCCAGTGGGAACTGATTATGTACTACTGAAGAGAGCAATTACTAAACTCTGTTTTAAAAATCCACTAGCGGAGCGTGTCTGATAATACCCTCGTGGCCATGGACTTTTCGGGTTGTACAGGGCGCGTGATTGAAAACCCCAATGAAGCACTGACTGTAGCTCTGGAGGAAGCTCGGGCATGGAGGGTAAGTCTACTATTTATTTCTTACTTAGAATTTCAGGGACATTAATACAGAAATGTTACAAAAAGACAGCTGGGTTAATCTATGGTGGCAACAGATTAACAGGGTTGACATAATATATTTAATCTTTAAACTTGGAATAGCAAAACCCAGTTACTGTGATATTATAACATGTCCAGAAAGTTAAAATATATTAAGACTTACTAAAGTCTTACTAAGGCTTTATTGAACATGTTAAGGAAATAGCAGTCTCTACAATACATTTGGCCAAAACTCACCGTATTTCATTGTAGCCAAACTGTGAGTGTACTGTATGTGTAGCTATGTGTGAATAAACTCAAAGTGTCTTTAGGAAACAAATGTCCCATAACAGCTGCAGTCATCCTAAGTACAGGAAGTAGCATCCATTTGTGAGGCCAGTCTTGGATGAGTGCTAGAAAAGAAATTAAGAGTTTAGGGCAAACGGCAAGGATGTGCAGAATTGAAGCCTAAAAGCCTGACATTGGAGTGCCTTGGAGCCTGATCTACTAATTAAACAAAGTAATTATTGGATTAACAAAGATTTTAAACACCATCAGGCTTCCATTTTTATTAACAAGTAACCTGAACCAAACGCACAGTAATGTTCATTATTTGTTTAAAATTCCTGTTGGTGTGTGTGTGTGTGTGTGCGCGTGCGCAGGCGCGTGTATGTATGTATGTATGTATGTATGTATGTATGTATGTATGTATGTATGTATGTGTTATGCAGCTGCTCATCTCACATAGATGAGTCTGAGTGGTGTACAGGCATGAAAAGCAGAAAACCCGCAAGCACCACTCACAGAGCTCATAAATAAAACAATGGCCCCATTTACACCCCAAAATACTCCCAACTCCCATGGACAACAGCACAACTGAGCTAACCTCTAGTCGCAAACACCTTTAGCATCCCATTATTTCCCTCCTTATTTCCTTTTCTCTTTATGCCAAGCAAAAAAAGTGCAATATTGATATTCCTGAACACATTTATTCCTTTGGTGATACAAGAACATTATTAGACAAGTAAATCTGAAATAATTTAAGGCAACACAAAAATCAACTCATTTAACATACTATCTGGCTTCTGTGAAACTGAGCAGGCTTTGTCAAATGAATATCCTTCTCCACCGAAGTTTATAGTCCAATCTCAACATTTTCTCTGAAGAAACTCCCACTCTACAGTATATAGTAAATTTAGGACAGCAATTTTTGTAAAATGTTTATATAGTTGCTCACTGGAATTGGTCAAAAAGTGTATGGCAATTATCCAGGACAATTACTGATGTTAATTGTCTGATATGATGGCAAAGTTAAAACACTTGAACAACCTCTGATTTTATTTTTTCTATGCTGCAGAAGAAGACATCACAGCGATACAGCTTGCCCACTGCATTCCAGAGTTGTCCATTCAGTGCTGGTAAGTGCCTGTCCCAAAGACTTGATATGTAGCCTTGTTTCATAACTGCAACATTAGCTGAAGACCTGATTGGTGTTGTTGGTAGCAAATTAAGGGATGAATGAAGCCTAGTGATAGAGCAGGGAAAAATAATGCTCTTTCTTATGGCATTTGCTCTAATAAAGACATCGTCTATAGTGTTCATCTGAACCCACAATACAATCAGCATTACTTTTTAAAAATGGAACTCCAGTTCACTATCTTGAAACACAGTAGACAGGACAAAATTGAATTACAGCTGTATTTATCTGAACTGTTTAACTGAAGTACAGTTGAACTGTTTCAGTATTTGATTATTCTACTGGCCTGTAGAAAATAATAAGACAGGGCAACAATAAAATGCTTCTAAGGGTGCACTAATTGTCCTTCTCTACTTGTCCCTAGTAGCAAAATAGCTAAAACAGTGTATTATTCAAAATTATCATAGAATATTTACATTTATAATATTAATATCTTGCTTTTATCAATTTATGACAAAATGGGAAGGTGTCTTAGAAATAGTATCCAACATTATTTTGTACAACTTCTTTAATAGGGAAATCTGCAGTACCAAAATAGTCCCATATATAAGAAAATCATGTGTGATGGATAGTTTTTACAATCTATTTACTTGCAGATGAAGACTGAAAGTTGTGAAATGTTGGTTGACAGCATGGTAGATAACATGATGCTGTAAAGAAGAATGGAAATGAAGGGAGATATAAATGAAAGAATTTCCCATTAATTAAACTTCAATTTAATTTAATTGGATTTCATACTGATTATATTAGTTCCTGACAGATTATTGATTTATTATTCTTCCCTGTTAGTCAGCTCCAATTTATTCTCAGCAGCTCAACATTCACATTTCACAAAAAAGGGATCCTTCAATCATGATCTTTAATATTCTTCATTGTAGAAGTTAATGTTTGCACTTGAAGTTCTTTGTGAATATTTTTTAATGCTTTGCTTCTAAAAAATCTTTTCTTTCTTTCTTTCCTTTTTGTTGTTTCTTTCTTTTTCTTTCATTTTTTTCTTTTTTTCTCCTTCCTTCCTTCCTTCCTTCCTTCCTTCCTTCCTTCCTTCCTTCCTTCCTTCCTTCCTTCCTTCCAGCCATCCACAAAACTCAACCCTGGTTCCATGGTCACATTTCTAGAGAAGATACCCAGCGCCTTATAGTTCAACAAGGAGTTGTGGATGGGTATGTTGCTTGAGTAACATTCCAGTTCGTAATATTAATACTGATTATATTAGTTCTTGACAGACTTATATTACTATATTCAGATTTAGAGCTGTAGAAATTGGCCAGAATGGAGAGAGAGATTGATGTACCTGAAATTATCCCATAAGAACATAGTAAGAGAGTAGAAAAAGGTATTTCTGTTCTGGGAAAGGCAAGCAAGTAAACTTAGCAGTCATTTTTCTTCACCTTCATAGTCACCAGAAGTTTTGTTAGGCTTTGACTTTCAAGGAAAAGGAATCACCATCTGTCCAAATCCTTGGACAGTGTTGCATCTCCCAATTCTGCAGATAAATTCATTCTAGTAGCTTTCTATAATATGGTCCTTTAGCTGGGTTAGAACATTTGTAATTTTCAGATCTGCAATCTGTATACATCTGGAAGAGATTAGTATTAGAAAAGACAAAATAATTCAAATATGTATAATTTGCAACCATTGCAATAGCATGAATTGTAAGGGGAGCAGCTATGGTTTCTGTGTGGTGAAAACTAACCCTTGTTTGTGGTCTTATTAACTGCAGGTTATTCCTGGTGCGTGAAAGCCAGCGGAATCCCAAAGGCTTTGTCTTGTCCCTTAGTCATACGCAAAAAGTGAAGCACTATCTGATACTTCCGGTAAGTGGACAGTGAAACTGACTGAGCTGCTTTTATCCATCCTGCCTACAGGATGTAGGCAGGATGGTGTACAAATGCAAAGCAGGAATTTTTCTTGGTTTCTTACCTAAATTACTGTTGCTTCAGTATGCTAGGATGTATGTATTTCTGTTGTATTTTACTTTCCACAAAGATGACTTCTATTTAATATCATCGCTCCTAGTCTCTTTTAGCTATATTTACGGCATGTTAGAAAAAAAACAGTTAAAAACATAATCTACTTTAATCTGCATTTGTGGATGTATAAGGAATTGATAGAGCATACAACTCCCAACTGCTAGTTAGCTCAGGGTTATCTATGTTTAGGGAAACCAAATATATGCAGAATCTGATCAAACAGAACATAAATATGTGACAAGATTAAATTCCAATTCATTGTTGGGAAATATGAAAGCAACAAAGCAGGGAAAAAATTATCTGCAGTTCATCTGTTTTGTCACATCAGCAGAGCTAAACAGTCATGCATAAGGAATTCTTGGGAGATATGTAATTCCTCTGGTGTTTACTTTCTAGGGAAAAAAAAGATGTTGTACTGTACTCAGATCAACTTCTGCAAGCACTGTTACTGGAGAGCAAAAATTGGCAAGGGATGGGGTGGACCACTTCTGCCTGAGATTAATTCTTGAGACGGAGCCTGATATCACCTTCCACTTCTGTTTTCTTTTGCCTCTATTTCTATGCCAATATTTTCTAATTTTTATGCCTTTCAGTGTGAAGAAGAAGGACGCCTGTACTATACTATGGATGATGGCCAGACACGTTTTGCTGACTTGATTCAACTAGTGGAATTTCACCAAATCAACCGTGGCATCCTGCCTTGCAAGCTGAAGCACTATTGCACATGTGTTGCCTTATGATAAACCGTCATCCATTGGCCATTCCTGGGCCCCGAATTACCATTGGCTAAGGCTTATATGTAGGTCCTTTTGAAATGGATACATCAGGACCTACTTCAGACTTTCAACCTCTCTGTCACCTTGCCTTCAGCCAATCCTATAAGAAACAAAGAAAAGAACAGTATTTGAACCTTCCCATAAGGCTACTGATCAGTAAGCCTTCAGTTGTTGTTGTTTTTTTCTCCAGAATCAAAGAAGGATTTCAGGTCACAGTATAGTAGTTTAGTTTGGAAACAGTCACAACGTTGTTGGCTGGTGCCTTTTTTTTCATATGACATTTTTTTACCTCTTGAGTGCCCTTCTGTATGTTTTAATACAGACTTTGCTTTTTCACCATGTTACAGAAATTTTGCTACATTGATCATTTAATCTTTCTAATGTGATTGCCAATTTCCAATTGTCTGGATGGTATATGCCAGACTTATGCATTGTTTCAAAATCCTAACTGACTAGAAAAAATAGTAAGACGTAGGAATTGATTCGTATTGCAAATAATTTTTTCTTATTAGCTCTCTTAAGAACTATTGTCTCGTTCTACCCAAGATTCTATGGGTGCTGTCACCTTTGTTAGAAAAGGAGTTCTTTTGTTGTTCAATCTCTTCCCTAGCATCAGTTTATGAAAGTAAATGCAAAATGTTCAAGGAATGGGCTACAATGTTATGAGGATCTGATAAGAATCTTTGGGACTGTCCTGAAAGAATCCACAGCAGGAAGGCTCACATTAAGTCTAAAGACTACCCTGAAATTTCTTGTGACTCTGTCAGATCTGAGAACAATGGGCTGCCTGGTAGGCAGAATTGCCTTGGGCTCTTGAGAATCTCAAAGCCCATGAATGCTTCTAATTGTGAATCCTACAGCAAGAAAAGATTGAAATGTTTTTGGTTAAGTTTAGTTAATGTGACAGGTGAGACATTGAGGTTTGAAGAATTGTATTTTTTTTTCCTCCTTGTGTTAAGGGCTTAAAATATTGTGGGAGCGAGAAGGGATGATTCAAGAAGGCTGTGACACTTTTATTTCTGCTACTTTTTGAGGCCAGTATATATTGTGATGTTTTGTTGTTTGTATGTGTAAATGCTGGTAATAAATCTTATTTTTTATGATACTCATGCTGGTTTTCTACTCAAATCAAGTTGTGAAACAAACAAACTAATTGCAACCTTTGACATGCATAATCAATGATACCTTATAGCAGTGTTTTTCAACCACTGTGCCGCGGCACACTAGTGTGCCGCGGCACAGTGTGAGGTGTGCCGTGGGAAAAACACTCGCCCCCCCCCTTCCCCCCCAAAATCGTTTTTAAAATGCCTCTGTTGTCTTGGGAGCCTTCGGGGCGAATTCGCTTAATCTCCCGCTGCCGTCGTCCCTTTCACCCGAACCAGAGCTACGGCAAGCCCCGTGGCCATTGCACGCGTGCGCGATCCTATTTTCTCCAGGGGACGATGAGCCCGAGGGAGGGAGCCGCGCAAGGGTGGGGCTTGTCATTGCAGGCTCTGGGCTGACCCTGCCTGAGAGCAGCTGCAGCTGCAAGCCAAGAGAAATTGAGAGAGAGGGAATGTGCACGTTGCATGAAGGCGGCGGCGGAGGAAGCAGCCCGGTGTTGCTGCTCGCCTTTCCCGCTCTGTGCTTGGGAGAATGTGTGTGTGTGTGTGAGCAGCCACCGACCTCTTCCTCGCCCGCGGAGTCGCAGGAGGAGGCCAAGCAGAAACGCCCCCGCATCGCGCCACCCCTGCAGGAGACAAGCGGCAGGAGACAAGCTTGCTGCGGGCCGGCAGCTCTCGGCTGGATGAGCGGCAGGATGACCCGTGCCAGCCGACCTTTTCGTCGGCAGGACTCCGTGGTGCATCGGGGGAGGCGATTCCTGTCTCCTCGCCCCGCTGGCGCTCTCCTCCACGCCGGCCAACTACCGTGTGGCTCGGGCGGGGCGTGCGGCGCGCCTGGGATGCCGCTCTGCCCCGCGAGCGCCTCTGGGGCTTGAGACCCCTCCACCCGCCGTTGCCGCCCGCCTGCTCGCTCCCGCTGCCGCGCCGTACGTGAGCCCGCGCTGGGTCCGACCGGCCGCCCTCCTGGACAGCCGGAGCTGCGGGGGAGACATTTCGCACGGCGCATTCCGTTCGGGGCAGGTGGCAGGTTTCGAGCGCCGCCTCGCCGTGAGCCTCGACAGAACAGGACGCCCCAAATTGGAGCAAAAGGGGCGGCGCGCGACCTGGTGTCCCGCTTGACAGGCAGCGACCCTGGAGCCGCGCCAACTGAGGCAAACTGATGTGGGGACCGGGAGCCCACAGCCCGCCCGCTCTCCGCTGGGGCACAGGGGCCCTCTCGCTGGCTTCAAACCAAAGATGCCCAGCCCGGCCGACGGCTCCAGGGAATAAACGAAGGATCACTATGAGGGCCAAAGCGCCCCTCTCGTCCTCAAACGTCCAAGGGAGCTGCAGTCCCGCGGGGCCAGGGTCCGCCAGGAGCCCTGCGCGGCTGAGAAAGGAGTCTCGTCCGCCGCCCGGCTCAGCCCAACCCTCCCCTTCCAATGGCCCGACCCGAAGAAAGGGAGGGAAGCGGGCTGGGGGGGGTAGAGGCTGACCACTGGCGGTGTGGGTAGCGGAAGAGAGATCCCCGTTTGGATAAAGGAGGTCCTCACCTTCGCTCTCCAAGACTGCCCCGGGCAGCCGCCTGCCCATCACCAATGCTCCCTTCCCTGGAGGAGGGGAACCCAGAGGCAGCCCAGGCTGCCAGGGGCTTCCTCAGGATGGGACAAAGGTGCCGCTCCCCTTCCCTGATTGGAGTGATCAGCTTCGTGGATGTCACTTTGGCCCTTCCTGCAGCCCCTTCAACCTTCACTGGGCAGGGAAAGATCCTTCCAAGCTGACCGGGCAGGGGACCCTCCCCTCCCCCCCCCACTGCTTGGGTCCTCCTTTCTGTCTTCTAGGCCCTAGAATTACTTTATATATAGTCAATATAGGCACAGAGTTAATTTTTTTAAACATTTTCTAATGGTGGTGTGCCTCGTGATTTTTTTCATGAAAAAAGTGTGCCTTGGCACAAAAAAGGTTGAAAAACACTGCGTTATAGAATGTTAAAAAAATATGTATCTCCGTTTCTAAGCCACCAGATTTCTAATGTCACACACATGCACACGCGCGCGCGCACACACACACACACACACACACACACCAAATCCACTCACTCATCACAAAATCTCCAGAACTGTAAATGCATATATATGTATATATAGATTAACTTGCTCTGATGCTAAGAAGTTAGACATTCTATTCTCCCCACCTGAAAAGAACTCTGTTTCAACTGCCAGTTGCCTTAAATTCCGTTACCTCAGTTCAAACTGGCAGACATTCCACTCCTTCACTCAGAAGCAGTACTCATCAAAACGTCTACACCTTCCACCTATGGAAATGCATCCGAACTCAAGGTGGCAGGAGAGATATTCTCTTATGAGCTTCAATCAACACTGATCAACATTGAGCCAACTGTTTTTGAACCGAATTTCTCCCGCATGATGTCCCAGCCCCAACTCACTTCTTACACTGACCTCCTCAGTTCAGACAAATCTGTTCCTTCTGCTTAAGACCATTTAAAGGGAAAAGAGGGGAAAATGCCATCAGCACCACTGCCTTCATCTATGTAGCCAGGCTAATAACTTGCATAGCATGGACTTTCAATTCTTCCCTCAGATGAGTTGCTCAGGACCTCCCTGTAAACAACATTCCTGGTTTTGCTCTCTGGCTGGAGGATGACCAGGTGTTAGGTGAACTGACTCTGGAGCATGTTACATACAACTGGCCATGGGGGAAACAGTCGCTCTTCAGATGCACACCAGCCACTTTCAAAGTCTGTCCCTGTGCCTTATTGATGGTGATGGCGTAGCACACCTTAATGGGAAATTGTATGTGTTTGAACTTGAAATGGTAGTCTGATGGTATCAGAGGAATTCAGGGGATGAAAATGGTTTCTCCCTGATTGATGCCTGTGAGAATTGTGGGTTTGATTATGTGTTTGTACAGAGTCTGAAGCCTGGTGCCATTGCACAGTTTCGGAGGGCTTAGATTGCGTAACAGCATGATTAGACTGCCTGTCTTGAGGTAGAGGACATTAAGAGTTTACATTTTAGCCAATTAGGTCTTAAGATGGCCTTTTTAAAGCCCTTTGAACCTTTTGGAGAAGATGTAAGGGTACAAAGTTTTTGGTAATCCTGGTGGGTTGAGAGTGTGCAATAACTCCACAGGGTAATGTACAGCATTCTCGACCTTAATTGCTCATTAATTTTCAAGCTTTAAATATCAATTTATTAAGCCCAATCACATAGTTTCCTAGCGAAGCACGGGTATCCAGCTAGTTAAGTATAAATATTTCATCCTCATATTTTCCTATCCTAAACAGTGTCTGCAGCAGAAATGTTAGAGAAGTCAATAAATAGACTTCCTTCATTGCTATTTTTTTTTTAAATGTGGCTGCCCAGGATCTTTCCAGATGCCTTGGAGAGAGGAGAGCTAAATAACATTTACAAAACCATCCAGTAAATATCACTTTAAAAATTATTGTATCACAAAAAAAAGATCGCTAAGTTCCAGATTAATTATGATGATTCTTTGATATTTTGTCTACAAACAAACCGAGCTGGGTAATGTGCCCTATAAAGGTTATTGTGAAATGCCATTTTCTTTTTTCCAAATACTTTGCCAAGTCTCATGGTTTTGTTCATGTATCACGAGTGGCTGATCCTGGAACTGATTAGGTGGGATTTGTATGCAAATCCATTTGCAGTTTAACAAAATTCAAGAGATTAAGAGTTTACATTTTAGCCAATTAGGTCTTAAGATGGCCTTTTTAAAGCCCTTTGAACCTTTTGGAGAAGATGTAAGGGTACAAAGTTTTTAGGAAGTTCAAGTCTTTTCAAAATATTTTTAAAAGTCCCTTTTGGGGGAGTCTACATTTCTCTCCTTCACATAGGACACTATGTCTCCTAAAATTGTACTGATAACAGGTTGTTCATCTGGCATTGGGCTGGCTTTGGCTGCTAAACTAGCAAAAGATAAGCAGAGGAGGTTCAAAGGTGAGTTTTCAAAATTGTGGTGTGTGTGTCTCTCTCTGTGTGTGTGTGTGTGTGTGTGTGCATGTAAATAGTGTATATGCAAACCATGGATAACTAAGTTCATTAAGTTTGTTTATGTGTGTGTGTATACACACACACACACATATATACATACATATATACACATATACACATACACATGTATTTGTATATTCATATTCCTGCCTTACTATAATTCTGTCTGTCTTTCAATTATTCTGAAGTTAATTAAAAAGCTGGTATGTTATAAAGCAACACAAAGGGAAGAAACACAAAGGAAATATCAGCCAAAGTAAACTATTTCCAGCAATGCCTCTCACATCCTTAAAATACCTAAAGCATTCTTAGAAAACAAAATATTAAGTAGTTGTAGCTGAGAGTTTTATTTGCCTTCCAAAATATGAGTGTTAAGTGACTGGTTACAGCTTTTCCGACAATCATTTTGCAAGCAAGCTTTAAAAAGGCTCTCTTTATTCCAGCATTGTCTAATATCCCCAAATGTTGGGTGGCCTTGTTTTATATAATAATACACATGATCTTAGTAACTGTTCACAAAACATGGTTAACTCTCCAACTAGAGATATAACAAAAGTATTTGTACAAAACCTTAACAGTTACTGATACCAGCTTAATTATGATAAATATGTTTGGTGGTTAGTTCTGTGTATTATACTAATCGAGAATCCTACCTAGCCTTGAATTGCACAAAATAAAAGCAGAATATAAATGTAATTAATACAAGAATAACTTCAGTAACCAGATTAAAATGTGAACATATATAAATGGGCATAAGAGTATTTATTTGGGAGTGGGAACAAATACAAGTTTTCTATAAAATAGGTTTTGATGAATTACACAATATATTGCTAATGAGGACTCAAATTTTACAAGAATTTGTTAAAAAGTGCACAGTACTGAATAGCAACCTCACTTTCAAAAAAAAGTTTCAGTTCCCTAGTCCATCTCTATAAATTGTTATATATTTGTTCAGGACAGGCAAGCTCTGTTGTATTGGAAACACTGAT